GATGAGCATGGTGACATTATGGGTAATGCAGAGTGTGTCCACTGCAGGACACTGTGCCTAGGGCGTGTGGTTCAAGACAGGTGCTGCTCGACTATGGGAAGCCCACAGAGAGCTGAGAGATAGTCAGTATGTAGATGTGCTCTGCTGGGAGAGACCCAAAGTGTTCTGTTTTGATAATAAGATATAAAATAAAATAAAATAAAATAAAATAAAATAAAATAAAATAAAATAAAATAAAATAAAATAAAATAAAATAAAATAAAATAAAATAAAATAAAANTAAAATAAAATAAAATAAAATAAAATAAAATAAAATAAAATAAAATAAAATAAAATAAAATAAAATAAAATAAAATAAAATAAAATAAAATAAAAGTTGATCACAGCTCATTTGCACCTAAACAAATAAGAGCAAGTGGATAGTTTGTATTCCTTGAATAAAAAAACTCAAAAAAAAATCAAAGAGCTTAAGGCTGAAGTTAGGCTGTATTATGCTGAACGTGACTAGGTTTGTTAACAAACCAATTAAAAAAAAAAAAAAAGAAACCTTTTAAATTGCTGCGACGGGAGAGATGCAGGAACCAAGCCATGGACAAGCCACTATGGGCCAAAATGAAGCCATCCCACAGCCCCAGACAGGACGTGCTAGCAGTGCCTTCCAGTTTTTAGGTAAGAAAGCTTTTTTCCTCAGCTCTGTGAGGGTCTGCAGGGTGGTCAGGAAAGCCCAGGGATGAGCAGTACCAGTGCAGCACACAGCAGCTGTATCCCAGGTCCTGCTGACCGTGGAAAAACAGGAGAATTTCTTGGCACGCGCGTGGTGTAACACAGGGAGCCAGCAAGAGGTAGAGCTGTCACTGGGAGCAGAAAGGACAAACGGGCAGCAACGTTTTCTGCCTCAGGAGGTCTGTTTCCAGTGTGTAAGATGCTGACAAACAGTATTTTTTAATAGGAAATTGCAGCTAGTGAATAGGCGTGAGGAGTGTAAATGCAAGGAACTGCTCTCAGTGCATGCAGCCTGTGCAAACGGTGCAAACCACAGTCTGGGTTTCAATCAAAGCCCCACCAGAGTCCAGCGTTTTAAAATAAAGTCTCTGAAGTCTCTACCCATCTGCATGCACAGACAGCAGATCAGCCAGAGAATTCTCCTTTTACTGACACAGCAAAAACAGCCCTGAACTCACCACGCAGTTAAGAACATCTTAATTAAACTGTGGTTATGTTTACACAAAAGCAAACCCTTAGCTGTTTGCTGCCCACCAGCCAAACTCCTCCCCACCCCTGACATCTAGACATGGAGGCTACAGGTTTGTCTATGTACAAACTGAAAACAAAACAAACAAATCCGAGTCGCAGACTGCAACAGAAAAAGAAAAAAAAAAAAGAAAAAAAGAAAAAAAAAAGGAAATAGGGCAAATTCAGCTGTTTCAGTTGCAGTTTGCAGGCAGAAAATCCTGATGTTCCCATCACCTGGGGAGGGGGGTTGCTACTGAAGCACATCATAGACCTAAGTTGCACCCTCGGGGTGGAAGATGCAATCACTTCACTGCAAATAGTGCCCTGTCTAACCTGTTCGAGTTCAGCAGCCAGTGGTCCCCTTCCAGCTCCACTGGGAGACTTTTATCAACCAGCTGCTCTTAGCTTTGAGCTTGGGTACAAGAGCTCCCACCAGGCATCCTTCCTCGTTCTGCAATTTTTAATGTGTTTTTTTGGTAACTGTTATGCCCAAAGTGATCCTGAACCAATGTCTCAAGAATGGGAATACTGCAAGATTTAGCCTCATTTTTCTGGAAATTCAGAGACAGACATTATAATTTATCATCCAAATATAGAGTGAAAAATTCTCCCACCCCTCCTTTTTTTTTTATTTTTATTTTATTTTTTTTTTTTCCCCAATCAGGAGACTAGCACGGTTATCTCCAATTGCACATCTTATCTGTAAGAAAATAAATGCTCAGTTTCAGGCCATCACTGCTGTATCTCATTTCTTTATAAGGAAAAGTTACAACACACCACACAGAAAGCACAGAGGCTTCTCAAGTACTTTGTACTTTATGTACTGATGTGGACTGCTCCCAAATGACAGTTTTATACCTGTGGTTATCGAGGGCGGCCTTTGTACCCAGGAGAAAGCATAAAGCAAGTAGGAAAAGAAATTCCTATTGTCACGCCAGGAGGATTATATTTGCTATTCAGGAGTCTGAACCTCTGAGAAAAGCATAGGTCTGCAATTTGAAAGACACTAAAACCTTTTTGAGAAAGGTAAGAATATCTTAGCTCATTTTTGATGGTAACAGGTTACTGTTCTGAGCAGAGACTAAGAGAAGTAGGTCCTAATTAACGCAAAGTGATCACTCCTAGAAACTTCATCTCTATTTTCTATCTGCAAACAACAACCAAATGATGAAGTGGGTGCCAAAAAGAGGTGCTAGAGAGACAGCTTTCAAGTGCTCATTCTCAGAGATGGAGCCAAGATTTCAGAAACAGTCAATGCTTAGTGTTTCCCCACTTTCTGTTCCCAAAAAATTGAGTGCTTCTGAAGACCTGGTCACTTCTTGATGCTCAGGTAGGAACCAGACTCTTTGGAAATGTCTGCACACAGGGAAGGACTGTGAGGAAACAAATTCTCCCATTAAGAGTGAACAGCAGATAGTCTCGCACCAAATGTGCCAGTTTTGGAAAGGCCAGATTGACCTGGGTCTTGGCTAGGCAATGGTAATGCAAGTGGTATAAACTGGGCAATATTTATACACTTAAGCTGTGGTCCTACAAACAGGGTAGATGCTAGTCCAGCCTCATTTTCTGAGTCAACTGAAGAGGCACAGAGTCAACTGAAGAGCAAGAAGAGAGGCACTATGCATGAAAGAAGGTAGGATGAGGAGAAGAAAGCCTGTAAGACAAGCATGAAAGCAGCATGAAACTGGGAATCAGACTCCCCTGCCCAAGGGTGGAGACAGACTAATCTTTCCATACTCCCAGAAGTTACATAGCTCTTGGAACAAAAATGAGGGATTTAGGAGGCAGAAAAATACATGGATAAACGCATGGATAAAAATCATTATGCATCATACAGAAATGATACTTTTATGGCCTGACTATGTGGGCAGACAGCCTGAGTTGAGCAAGAACAGAGATATTTGGCAGGTAAAATAAGACTTGTAATAAAACAAGAGTCATAAAACAAAAGATAAAATGAAAATTAGAGCAAATATAGTCCTCATTGCCTAAAAGCCTTTTTACAGGTCGTGCTGTTTTTTCCTTTTTTTTTCTCTCTTTTTCTTTTGTACGTAGGGGCATGAAGGAAGTTTCTACCATGGGTTTGTTTGCTCTGTGTAGTTGCCGAAGTCTGTGAGATCCCAGGGAGGTGATCAAAGACAAGCTGCTCCAGTCATGCTCTTGCAATAGTATACCACCATCTGGCCATACACAATGGGAAAAGGATGAGAAAAAAAGGCCTATTAATGCTGCATTGCTCGTAACTAGCCCGGGAGTCCTTGTCACCAAGGACTGTACAGCTGTAGGAGCAGGTCGTAGGTGGAAGGCAGAACATACGTTGTGAAGAACAAGCTGGAATCGCTGAATTCACACATCAGCTGAGCAAGTCATCTCTCTGCCACTCTCGCTGCTTGCAAAGGATGAGACCATCCTTTATGACTGAGTGTCCTCATTTGACCCAGGAGAGCTTTCTAAGTGTTCCCTGATGTTTGCTCACTTGAAAGGTGGACACGGAAGCAGCTTGATATTGGGGGTTCCCACAGAGCCACACAACACAGAAGGCAATGATGTTCAGACAGCCCGTTTCAAAGTCTTTGTTTGATTTTTATTAAAAATATAATTAACCCAACTGCCTGAACAAACAGTGAGGGGAAAACCTTAAGTCAAAGATTTACAGAGCTGCCAACTGTAAGTTTTCACACATCAGGTTCTAGAAGAACCATGAAATGGGCTTAAAACCTAACTTCCCTATCTGGACAACTGCTCAGTGGCCCTACCTGGACCTGCCATGGCCCTACCTGCTTGGGCCATGCCTCCAGGCCTTGCTTGACAGCCAGGTTAGGAACAGGCTCTGGCTTTCCTGAAAAGAACAAAGTTCATCCTCTAGTTCTGGCTTCCCTCAGCTGGACTCTCTGTGAGAGCTCCCACATAAGGGTCATGAGGGTGGACAATCCTGGACATCACTTAAATGTTCCCAATTCAAACAACTTCCCTGTGGCCATAAGGTGAAACTTCCCAGTCCCATGATGAAAGGCCACCACCTTTGCCATCCAGGCGCAGGATTGGAGAGGCCAGACCCAGAGCGTCCATGCCCAGCCATGTGCTGCTCCCTCTTCCCAGGGACATCCCATTCAGGAGACCAAGAGTGACCATGACCATGAGCGGCCATCCCAAAGCAAAGATGACACAGGGATCATTCACAATGTGAAGATTTGTGCTAAAACAGCTTACAAAATATAACAACAACAAAAGGCTTTCACAAGATCCTGTATCAACTTGTGCGAATCCCTGCCTGATGGGCTTGCTGACCCTTATTCAGCAACCCTCCAGTAAAACAAGCAAAAAAGTTATTCCAAATGCAGAGGAGGGGCCGCTGTTCCTCAGGGCACTTGGTCCACTGATGTGCTCTTCTGATAAGCAGTGTTCCAGCACACAGCCCCTTCTCCCCTCGAGCTATGAGGCCTTTCTTCTTAAGCAGCTAATACCCAGGCAAGATTAGACAAGGAGCCCCAGTTTGCCCTGTAACCCTGCCACAAACATGCCCAGCAGGGCCAGGGAGGAGATATCCAGTGTCACACAGCGGGGAGCCTGCCCAACGATGGCCAAAGAAGCGGAGCAGGATCTCCCTGGGCAAGGTCTGAATGGGGCTGAGGCCACAGCTCGCAGACCCAAGAGCCGACGCGAACACCGCCACCACAGCCCCCTCAGCGTCCGGAGCGCGTATCCCAACAGCGCTCCATGGCTCCGGCGGCCAGGCTGGCACCCTGTGCTGCACACGCCAGCCTTACCTGGGAGAAGTTGAGCCCGTTCAGCGGGTGGCACTGCTCCTCCACCTTCTCCACGGCCCCCGTTCGCTTCCGCAGCCGCTCTGCTTCCTGCGCCAGGTACAGGTCGAGGACGGGCACGCCGCGGGACTTGATGTCCACCTCCGTCAGCGAGTTCACCATGAGCATCACCCACACGGGCCTCTTGCGCTCCCAGTTGCCAGCGATGGCGTTGAAGAGGTAGTCGGCGTAGAGCCCCTTGCCTCGCTGGTCCGGCGTCATCCACGACGGCATCATGAGCTTGACGTACTCCAGGTGCCGCTTGAGGCGGCGGTAGATGTCGCGGGGCAGCACGTCCTGCAGGTTCTCCCCCTGGGGCAGCAGCTGGCAGCTGGTGAGCGCGGAGATGGTGTAGGGGTCGGTGAGGTCCAGCTCAAAGTAGACGATGTGGCTCTGCTGGAAGGCCTTCTTGGAGTTGTCGGGGATGAAATCCCACACGCGAGTGTATGGGACATGGATAGTGCCGAAGAAGTAGGATGGGGGATCCCTCTTGATAGTCCACAGGAAGGAGTTCAGCTCACTTTGCTGTGGAGGAGGGAGATGCAGCACAATAAATACCTTCATTCCCACCCCATCACAGGAGCACAAGGGTGAAGATGCTGGACAAGCAAGCCACCTGGACCAGATGCTTGCCAGCACCGACTTTTCCTACAGACTCCTTGCTCACACAGAGTATTCCTGGAGCATCCTTTTCTCAGGCTTTGGGCTCAAAATTCGTTTTTCCTTAATCAAAAACATGAGAGGCGTGGCCCTGGCTTGCTTCTGCTCAACAGCCCCGCTGCTGCCCCTGCTCAGCAGCCGCTATCTGCCAGCACCTGGGCTCAGCCCAAGTGGACCAAGCTGCAGGCAAGGCGCTTATCCAGCTCCCACCTTGTAATGAGTCAAAAGCTGGCACCAGTTTGCTGACACCGAGCAGGACAGCGGGGTTCCCGTCACCTCCACCCTGATGCCTCTCACTTCAGCACAACAAGGCGCCGTTCATCAAGGAATCTGCCTCGACACTGAGAGGGTGCCAGAGCACTTCTGGAGAGGCTCCTGCTCTGAGCAGGGCATGAAATGAGTGAGCAGCACAAAATAACTCACGGACCAGGTCTGGGAAATAGAACAATATCCTACATGGATGTGGCACACAGCGGACAGATAGATATACAGTCAAATTCTCATTTTTTTCTGAAGAATGAGAATCACAGCCAGTATCATGGGAAATAAGGGAAGAAACGCTGTTGGCCCAATGGCCTACAGGTTCAGGGCATTCTTGTTTATGCAGAGAAGAAAAAGAAAAATCACCTTTCAAACCCCCTCAAAAGAAAAAAATATCTCAAAAAGCACGGCTACCAGGAAAGAAGATGGGACTTCACATATATGCTTTGCTGCTACTATGTGCCTCACAGCATCCTCAGGATGTCCCAAATGCAAGGTTGCACCAAGTCTATAGCAATCCCCCTGGAGAGAATAGATGAGGCAAAAATGGCCCTTGTTCTGTGGAGCCAGGTCACTTTCCACGATCTACCTCCCTTTCAGGAACCATAACATTCAGGAACGTACAGCATCAGTCCTTACCAGTAGTGATGAACACAGGCAGTTTCTGTCCGTCTGCAAAGACAGGAAGAAGTAGCCTCCGCATGTCTAAGTCCTTTGTATGTCCTGTCTGCACAGATGGGAAAGGCTTTCAGATGCACTCCAACATCTGGCCAGGCTTTAGCCAGCAGATAACGTTAACCTCGGCTCCGGGGCTAAGTGTGCATGTGTGCTGATCTGAGAGGCCTGCCTGACTGCCAAATGCAGGACGGGCTGCTTGGAGGAATTTATTGGAAACACATTGCCTATAAATTTCTGATAGCAAAGAGGAGAGGTTAGAAAGGTTAATCTTAAAGATTGCTCTGCTGTGGCTCATCCCAGATGGCCTTGTCCAGGAGCTCTCCACATCTAACCCAGGCCACAGAGCAGGCAGCACTTCAACAGCACACTGCTGCCAATCCGGCTTATGAGCTCCTTGGCTCACGAGCCAAGGAAAATCCCATCAAGCTTTTCAGACATTTCTGTGGCATGTTAGAGGTCTGAAAAATTCACCACAGACCTGAGTTTTGGTAAGTGTCGCTCTTTGCTAGGGCTGTGCTGCATCTCTGCATTCTACAAGATATTCCTGGTGCACAGTCCTAACAACAGACCTTAAAAACATTCTTAAGGCTGAGCAAACTCTGTCTATGCTGTTCACTCTCTATAGGAGCTAAAACAACTGAGATGTCCCCTGGGCAAAGGAAAAGACTATGTTGTGATAGGTGAAGAAGATGTAAGGGAGACAAATGAGTATAGATTTGACATTGATGTAGAAAGAACAAGTGGAAAATAATATGCAAAGGAAAGATACAAAAAATAGGGGTTCTAGATTCATTGTAAAAGCTGAGCATCTGAGCCCAGAACATATTCCTTGCTGTAAGGGAGATGCTAAGGACTCTTCCCTCAGCTTCCACAGTCTCTACCTTCACAAAGATATTCCCTCTGTAAAATGTACCTTTTCTACAAGAGCTCCATGCAACTTCCCTCTTCTTTCATGTATATCACCCCAAAGTTTCTATTTTTTTTTAAATCAAGTTTCTGGGTTTTTTTTCTATTTTTTTTTAAATCAGGTTGCTAAATCTAGGCAAATCAATCATAATGAGCCATCTCAATAGGTGAGCACATTTGAATAAATGCGCTCATTAACCTCAGTGCAGTTTTCAGGTCAGTGAAGTCCCTTTAAGAAGCAGAGGGGCTTCTTAAGAGCAGCATTTTACAGATGACCAGCGCAGTCACTAGCCTGGAGGCAGAAACAGGAGGAAAGCGCACTGAGAAATCACCTGGAGAAGGGTGGCAGACGGCACATTCCTGGACGGAATGACCATCAGGGCTGCCTTCAGGTCGGCACGAAGGTGGAAGGGCCACCTGGGACAGGCTGGGAGGTGAGCGCCCCTTCGCCTCGCACAAGTCTGATCGTGCACGGGGCAGCCGGCCCTGAGAAGGAATCTGCAGGAGCAAGTTGCCACCAGCTCCGCTCCCGCGTAAATCCTGCCAGGAGGCGTGATCCCAAAGGGGCAGGACCAGGTGCCCGTGCTGCTCCAGACCATCACGCCTGGCTTGGATAGATGGGCGTCTGGCATTGCGCTTTCGTGTTTTCCTCTGCAAATCCCCATGGTTTTGCAGCTGCGCTGCGACAGCGCTATGAGCCATCAGTCAGAAAGCAAATGAGTCTTCCTTCAGAGGGTTTACAACACAACAAGTAGGAAAATAACCAAAAAAAAAGAAAAAAAAGAAAAAAGAAAAGGAAAAGATGAGGCCTAGCAAAAATCCTCAGAAAGTCCTCACGTTCCTCAAAGAGATTGAGATCCTGTAGGAAGGGCACCCTGCAAGCACCTGTCCACCAGCAGTTGCAGTCAGTGTCCCAGGGCTTCTGTGTGCTCCTGTGGGCCCAGCTTCCACCCCTGGCTCCTTGTGCATCTCCTGGAGCTTGCACGGGTTTGCCTCTGGCTCCAGAGAGGGAAAAGTGGGGGTGCATCTCCCCACAGGCTGTGACAGGGGGGCTGTTAAGGCACGAGGTGGCTCCGAGATAGATAGCGCAGAGCAATGGCAGGGCTTGCTCAGCACCACCTTGCACAGCAGGTGCCTCTTCCTCTCACCTCATTGCACAGAGAGCAGATAAAGGACCCGGTTTCCCTTTGCAGCAGGGTCCTTTTATGCAACTCTTGCATCAGAAGGGGTTTAAAAGCAGCATAAATTACAGCTGCAGGGATGTCTCTGTGGTGCTCTGCCTTGCCCCTCACAGGAAAGCCCAGAGGCTTCCACTTGCTTCAGCCCAAAACAGGCTCTGACCCAGGGGCACGTGTATTTTTCCTCCCCAGTAGTCCTCTTTGCTCGTATTTAAACAGACATTGCTGCTCCCAACAGATTGCTTTTCCAGACGTGTTTATAGCACCACTATAGATGCAGCCTGTCATCTTCAAATACATAAATATTACTGCCTTCCTCAGATAGCATGAATCATTTTGGGCGCTGACAGTGGTTCTGCTGCGAGACTGATGCCAAACAGGATCAGAGGAACAGACATCTTTCTTCCGAGAAACTGCTTCAAAACGACCCAAATGAGGCACTGACTAAGGCAAATAAAAATCACTGAAAAAAATCCAGAAAATCCATCCATACATAAATAAGAAAGAGAAAGGGGACGGGAGGGGGTGGTAAGGGGATGTTTCCAGTGATGGCACTCTGAGCATCTAGGACAGGAGCAAACGAATGAAGGGAACTTTGAAAAGAAAAATGGGGAGGAAGGGGTTTCAGATGCTGTCCCAAGAATGAGCAGCTGGCACTGTCCTGCACATGTGATGAGGTAAATGGCAGCACTTTGCCTCTGTCCACCTCCTCTCCGTCCCACCTATGCAGACCATGAATATTTCAGGACAGAGCGCATGACGCCCACTGCAAGTGCCTTGGGCCTGCAGCTTCCTCCAGGGCCTTTCCCCTGAACATCTCAGATCCAAACCTTAGGCCAGGACTAAGCTCTCTCTCAACCCACAATATTCTCTCTTCTCCTCCCTGCTACTGCATGGCACATGCTCTGACTGCTGCATCTCACCCAGGCACATACTCCCTATATGGCTTTCTCTCTCACCCTTATCTGTGCTGGTGTCCTGTCTTGTCATGCTCATTTATACCTTTTCAAGGCAAAGGCTGTGCCTTAACTCAGCACAAAGTAGCCCACGCGCCTATGGCAGTGCACAAAGAAATGCTAAGCACATTTTTAATAGTCATTCTTTTGAGCTTTTGCCCACTTACATTACTGACACACTCCTAAACTCAATTTAAGACTGTAAGCAGAGCTTGCCTGGGGATAAACACTGCACTGGCTACAGCTATTAAAAGAACACAAATTCAATCTCCACTTACCAACAGCGAAAAATAAGAATCAGATTTTCAGCTGAAAAGCCAAGGACTGACAGCAAACAGATTGCTTGCTCTAGCAAACTAAATACACTGGGAAAAATAGCTGTTGAAATTAATTGGCCTCTTATCATGAACAATGCATCATAAATTATTAACTAGTTAGAACTGCAGGCATTCTGCTGTTAATCCTAGGATTCTGGCTTTAAATTTTTCAGTATACTCCAATGTTTAGTAAAAAGAAAGCACCACAAGGACACATTACTTAGTAACTGGGATATTACCCAAAAGATCCCAGCATCCTTTCTTTCACATTAACTGTTTTCAAAGCTTTTCTTTTTCTTTTCTCTATTTTTTTTTCCTCTCCAGTCTGTTCCTCAAAGCAGACTGATGGAGCATATTATTTTTAACTATAATATGGAATAATGATGAAAAAGACCTCAGCAGAAATTCTTATGCGCTCCTACATCACTTTCAGGCACTGAGTTTAAATAATTTCTTCCAGGACTGAAGTTCTAAAAGACCCAGCAAGAAGAAAGCCGCAGTGTAATTCAGAGAGGCACGAAAATGCACCAAAGTTCCTGTAAGAGATGAAGGTGGGAACAAACAAGAAGCCTTCCCTGAAGATGTGGGTGTCTCCAAGGGGATGGAGTAAATGTCCAAAGGGATGGGGGATTTCACGAGGATACTGCCCTTATTCCCAGCACCTCTGCAGTCAGGCACAAGGCCTTTCTAGGACAGGGGTTACCACCACTGCCCTAATGACCCTAGGAAGCAGCCCTCCGACAGGAGAACTACAGGTGGTCTTGCATTTTAACGGCAGAGTAATCAGCAGATAATGAGATACCATTAACACATTCCACCTCCAGCTCTGCTGGTGACCAGCTCAGGCCCGGTCAGGCACTTCGGCTCCTGAGGAAACCTCCCTGCATGTCCCACCATGCCAGAGAAAATGTTGCTTAGAAATCCAGTTTATCTACTGGATCCAGAAAAAAGCAGAGTGCAGGGCACCCTCCCTGACACAGGGATCAAGCGCTGTCTAACCCCAGCTTGACTGGGCACCTCCAGGCAGGCACGTGTTGCTTGGCATAGGGTTAAGCTGGCCATAGCCTAAGTCCTGGGTGTTGGGCAGCACAGGGCCCTGCCAGGGAGGTGGGCAACGTGTTGGAGGGCACCCAAGCCGGACAGAGAGGCCACTGCATCCCTGGCCCGCTCCAGAGCTAGAAAACCTTCCTCGCTGCTCCCCTACACCGTGATCTGGATGTGGCTCCTCCCCAGTGCTCCCCTGGGAACCAGTCTGCTAGTTTGGGGCAGGAGCTGAGCCTGGGTGGAAGGTGGGGAGCATCCCTGGACACCTCTGGTCAGCGGGACTCCAGCCCAGGACAATCAGGAACCACCTACTTCTCTAGCACTAAGTAAGCTCAGCTACACTTTTCTGAAACGATTTGGGGTGTTTTCATTCAGAAACCTCGAGGAGGCCAGCTTGTTCTCGTTATTTTGGGCAGATCACACCCTCTCCATAGATCTCGCGTGAGCCAGGCTGCGTTGGCTGCACGTGGCACTCTCCCGGGCCAGGCCAAGCCTACGTGGCTCCTCACGAGCGCGGCGAGGCTGCTCAACACTGAGCTCAGGACAACACTTCTGCTCAAGGCTGCTGTCCTGAGTCTCCCGCGCCGCGCCTGGGGTTGAGCAAGATCCGAGGAGCGGATCCCGGGAGGGACGCAGCCCCGCACGTCGCGCTGGGGAAGCCCGCGCTGCTGTCCGCGACGCAGCTGAGCCAAGTTCTGCCGGGGCTGCTCCCAGGACCTTCCTCCCTGCCCCCGGGATGCCGCGAGGGGGAAAGCAAAGCCCGGGCGCGCGCCCAGGTGCAGAAGCGGCCGCGGGTTAGTCTCCAGGGCGCTTTTCCATGGGCGCCCACCGAGCCCCGCGGCAGCGCTCCCAATCCGCGAGCTGAGCCCAGACCCCCCGCTCCCAGCCCCCGCCTTCACATGCCCAGCGTGTCCTGCCTCCCCCTGCACCGCGGGAGCAGCAGGGGTGGGGACCCGCGCCGTTGCCCCGGCGGAGCCGCGCGCCCGTCCCCGCGCCGTCGGGGCGCCGCTTACCTTGGCGCGCAGCGGGCAGGCGCCCGCGGGGCCGCGGCTCTGCCGCGCTCTGGCCAGCAGGAGGAGGGAGCCGTGCAGCAAGCAGAGCCACACGGGGGGCACCATCCCTGCCTGGCACCGCTTGGGCTGCCCGCTTGCCTTTTTTTTTTTTTT